TTGAAACATTTTATTCCATTTGTGCATGCCGATGATTGGTGGCTAGAATCACCGCAGTTGTAACATCTCTTAGTGTACACGGGCTTGCGTCCTGTAGTCGTCGTGGGCGTAATCTGAGCAGCAGCCTTATGGTGCATCTTTTCCTTTATTTGTGTGTATACTTCCAGTTTCTTTCGAAATTGTTTCATGTCGGTAGCTCCGTATAAAATAGATTTGTTTGTTTCAGAGTCACGGATACCATCTATCACGTATTCTATGATAGCTTCGTCTTCAACTTTCCCATGCATAGCCAATTCCTTCATGTGTAGAAAATACTGTTGGTAAGTCTCACTCGTTTTCATCTTGCGTGATGCTAATTTTTTGTGGATGGTAGCACTACTGAGTTTTGGGGCAAATTCTTCTTTTAATAATTCTTTAAGTACGACCCATGATGTTATCGAGCCCAACGATCGCAGAAATAACTTTGCTGTACCAGAGAGAAGTCTTTTCGAATAAATAATTTTCTCTATTTCAGTCCACTCCATTAACGTAGCGGTATCTTCAAAATCACTTATCCATGTCTCAATCGGGTAGGTATCATCTCCGGTAAAGAGCGTCATAGATTTCTCTAAGTCATTAAAAGAAATCCGTGGTTTGTTTCCAGAGGTAATATCGTCTGAACTGGGTTTTGTCAAATCTTCATTGTCTTTCTGATTTCGTCGTGCCATTCTGTATCAATTGTTTCGTCTTTTATTAACCAAAATAATAACCAATCGTCTTCATAAAATTTTCTGAATAAAATAATCGTCGTTCCCTCAAATGGTAAAATTCTGCCAAATATCGGGTATTTTTTTCAGTATGGCAATATTTTATTTCTCTTCTTGATTGACACAGATGATGTTTGACAGCTTGCTTGGCGATTATGCGGCATCTAATATTCACACTTTTACACCGTACACGATGTTTTCTTCATATCCCGGACGAGCCCCCATAAAAGTTGTGGGATTTATGAATGGTAGGGTGCAGATTACCGCAGAAATTCACACAAAATAATTAAAACAATCTTAACGTCGTACGATCCTTTACTTCTCCTTTTGACAACTCACCCATCATCTAATTTTACTTCACAGTGACATCTATCAACATTATAAAATTGACATAAAAAGAAAATAAGAACAATGAGAATCCCACATATATATATATAGATATTAGAACAATTTACCTAGAGTTTTGATTTCAAACTTACTTTTGATTAGAATAATAACAAGCAAATGTTGCATAGCATGATAAATTTTTCTAGTAACAACAATAAGTGGGTATAGTTTGTCGACGGGCGGGCTCATCAGTCGTAGACAAGTGATGTTAACGAGGCTTTAAACACGGTTCGTTAGAGAAGCTTGAGTGGGTAGTTACTGAGTGCCTCCAGTTGTAGCAGGGTTGCAGCGTATGAAGTGAAATTATTTTTTTGCTCTCACAACATTTTTTTTTGTATGACTCACCTGGCAAATAATATTTTAAAGTAATCGCTGAATATAAAGTAAGTCGCCTTTTGTACTCATATAACGCGATGTCTACATGGCGGTGTTCAAATCAGTTCAGATTCAGTCAGGTACCAATTTCACCAATTAAATACCAAAATAAGACATGTCCAATTTCTTTCGAATGATCGAATTTCGATTCGATGAAAGAATAACCTGTTAATAAAACCGACAAAATCATGATTTACGTAATTGCTGATGGTGGGACGTCTTCTGAGCCCTCGCAGCTAGATACCAATAACTTGTGCCATCAGTCAAGCGTTTAAAAGTCGGAACAGCCGTTATACAATACAACTCTGAATTCGAACTCAGGTAATAAAATATTACATCCTTAAGTGGGCGAATTCGGTGACGTCATAATGCGTGTCAGGAAAATAATGGCGAGCAGAGGTTTCAGACGGCGCAGGCGCCAGTGACGAGCGCTTTTCGGACACCAGCGTGCTTAATTCGAGCTTTTTAACGTTCTCAATAGCGTAAAAGTTAACAGTCGTAAGTCAAATTTGTATGCAGTTTGAACAGCGCCCCTAGCGGCAAACGTAAGCATACGTTCCAACTCCATACAAATTTCAGTTAACTTTTACGCTATCGAGAACGTTAAAAAACTCGCACTAAACACACAGAGAAAGACGGACGTGGTTACATCGAAGTCGCTTTATCTCTTTATATAATTACAAATTTGTTTGGAAGTTGAGATGTTTATGTAGCAATTCGTGTTGACTGTCTTTCTATTTGTTAGAATTCGTTTTAGAATCATTGTCATACACACCAATATATTTCTATTGAGTAAATTAATGATTTTGCAACATTTACTTGGGACATACACATGTAAGTAAAACGTAATCGTTAATTATTTGCGATGGTTTGAATAGCTTTCTGAATACCGGGAGTGATATAAAATAAAATGCGCTAAAAAAAACAATCAAGGAGTGACAACCCTACAAGTCAGCATATAGAGGTCAGTGTGATAAATATACGGTATAAACGTTCTATAGCTGTACTAGTGATAACACAAAAATTAACGTTTCATCATAAAGACCAACATAGCATCACACAAATTTAAGAATTTACTAGAACAATCGCGAATTTATTAAAAAAAAATACAGTGAAACATTTACAACCAGCGAAGCGGAATAAAAAATTTAGCTTGTCTATTTATTCAGAACAACTATCCGAAATACTCGTTCGTACGTATGTATATATAATATGTAGTATAAGAACATTTTAATTCTCTAAAACACACTTAGTCTTGTCTCGGAAAACTTGAGCGTGGGGCTTAATATAAAGGCAGTCCGTGGCTCTTTGTGAATAAAACAAAGAAGATGGGTAGATAGTCTTGTAAGTTAAGTGTTCCTTGTAATTAAATTTAAGGCACTTTTATCCAGCCCGGTGTGAAGTTCAGCCGAGAAGTTTCGTGGATAACAACAATCAGTTGTTAGATAATATGGATTAAACGTAACCCAAGTGAAATAAAGCTTAGATTGACTTCTTCGAATATTACTCTAGTGAAAAATAAATTATTGTCTTATATTGTGCATTTAGGCAGCGGTTTTTTTTGCTGGTATCGCTGATGTCCATGAACGTCGGGGACTACTTACGGTCTGTATGATCGTTTGCCTACAGTGGTACCAAAAAAGCACTTTGAAAACTATTTACGACAATTCGAATCAATAATCAGAATAATATTCAAACAAACATATATTTCCTTTGAATTATGATTTTATAGGACAGATCGGCAATCTCACTCACGGCCGACCTGATTTTAAATAATCCAGAGCCTTGCCAGAACCCAGATACACCTCGAATGCCACCACCCACTACGAGACATGAAGTCTAAATCTCAATTATATAGTATGTATATATAACCTTTCAAACGGGATCGAATAGTTGCTTCGCGACGGAGACATGCAATGTAGTGGTTAGTACCTACTCCTGTGTGCTCACACAAGGCCCTACCATTTTTTCTTCTTCTCAGTCGTATGCACTCTTGGCAGAGTGGTCGTGGTCATCACTTCGGTTGGTGGTGCGCTTCACCAGACCTACGATAAGTACCACGAATTCCAAATACCGAAATTTCAGACAATAATCAAAACTTTAGATGGCAAACAGATGTTATTTTTGTAAGTCAGTATTAAACAACATACGAAAGACAATGTATTTTTCGTACATAAATCTTCATGTCAACAGCTTGTTTTGGAACAGAAATATACTTCGAAGACAAAAGAGATAGGTGGCGGACATTATTTAAATTGGGCCTTTTTTTTTTCGCCTACATCGAAATGAAAACGTGACTCGTTTCAGAAACAATTTGTAAACAGCATAGCGTTCGTATAATTTGATGACTTATCTCGGATTTAAATGCTGATTTACTCAGCTAAAATAAAATTAAGGAGAAACAGGAAGCTACTTCAAACGTATTCAAGATATTATCTTATACCTTTAAACGAGCAATTCTTGTATATTAATAATATATATCTTGTATATAATCTGAATCTCGGAAACGGCTCCAACGATTTTCATAAAATTTAGTATACAGGGGATTTCGGGGGCGATAAATCGATCTAGCTACGATTTATTTTCAGAAAATGTTGTTTTATTCGTATTTTCAATAATCAACTCTTCCCGACATCTATTGGCGAATAATAATACTATTTTTCTTAATTGAGGGCAACTAGCCGCTTTAAAGACACAACAAGATGGCGTTATCAAAAAAAAACCGTCATCGTCTAGTGTTATTTATTTAAACAACTGAACGTATTGAACCATAACAATTTCTTTTAGAATGGAAACGAAGTATAAAAGTACCTCAATTGAACTGGTTGATATCTTCGACTGTATTTCCATCGTAGTACATTTTCTTTGAGTCTCGCATTCCGGGCCCACCTTATTTATTTCCGGCACAATTCTTCCGAATGAATCGTGGAGGGAAAAAACAGTTCTCAGAGCTTAGGCTAATCCTGTTCGAGTAGCGCAACATG